TAGATGCCAAGACCTATTAGTATGTCTGCATGCTCTAATGCTTTCTGTAATACATGCATCGATGACTGTGCTATGTACAGCTAAAATGGGCTAACTGAAAATAGACATTGGATTTCTTCACTCTCCCTTAGGTAATACCAAGCCATACGTACGTTGTATATTTGCAGAAAATGCGGGTTTCGAAGAATCTGCTGATAAAAGATTGTTGTGAAGATTTTCATTTCGTAGGGAAGTAAATGCTGAGTAGATTCGTAGGTCAATCTCACCGGAAGACATCGGCTGATTCGCGCTATACTGCGGCCGTTTGGCCTTAAAACAACGTTCATGCTGATACAGTCCACGAGGCATCCTCCAACGTTTTGAGCTAAAACAAACTGAGCTAGGAAGCATTCTTGCTATAGCCTCAACTTGAGTCATTCAACTTTAACATGCCAGACCATACGGTTCAGACTGGTGGTATCGTAGCCTGACTTTTACGCGTACAGGCTTACATCCTATAATTTCAACCAGGGGCACTCAGGGAATAACGCAATCTCGGTCATACATTTTTGCTTAAATCACCAAGTCTTAATGACCCGGGGCTGACGTTAAGCTTTTTTCTAATTACTCGGAGTTATGGTCGATTTTGCGTATAGACATTAACATACATACACACACATACATACTCGAGTATGAGTGAATAACCCAAACCTTTATATATCCATCTATATCGAAAGTTTTTCTTGCAATCAGTATACATATTCGTATGATAGTAGGGTTTCGAGACTACCAGTAAGTCAGTGTATATATATCATGTAGAAAAGGCCTGTTAGTCTTCCTGACATAGTGTTAACGTGAGGCTTTTGCAAGAGTAATTTTAAGCTCTGACGATGTTCGTCACATGACGAACAAAAGCTCAGTTGAAACTTTGGAGGATGTCCAATGGGCTGCATCAACCTGGACGTAGTATTAAGGCCAAATGGCTGCAGTATAACACAAATTAGCAGGCGTCTTCTCATGTTATAATTTTGCTGTCATGTTTTCCCTTCCAGAGGAGAGGATAACTAGTGGGTAAGTGCGGGATAGAGACAGTTTTCAAAGAAACTCTGACACTTTCATAGCCTCTTTTTAGAGAGAAATAGGACCCACTATCAAGATCCGGCAGTTATAAGATCATGTGCTCCTGTGGTCGACTTGGCGTTGGCGAAACTTGTCGACCGATCCACCAAAGATTAGCAGAGCACAAAAATGCTTGTAAGGGCAGCTGTGTCGAATGGTCAGAAGTGGAGGAATATATGATGGAGACTGGGCACGAGGTAGAATGGTCTCGTACGCAGAGATTTGTTGATTATGGTATGTCTGCTACTAAACGCAAGATACGGGAGGTTATTGAAATTAACAGATTAGGGAATGGTGGTAGACAGTTGAGTAAGAATTTCTTATGCTTGATTGAACGATTGAAAGATGGTGTTGAGTCGCCGTCCAAAAGAAGACGACTCAATTTGTCAGCTGAGTGATTGTTATAGCCAAGTTAACACTCATTCAACTGACACGTCAAGCTCATCAGCCGAAACAGACGTGCGGGGCTACGCAATCCCAGCCAAACTTCTTCTTGGGTCATTACACCTTAATAACACAGACTAACGGATTCGGGCTGGTG